TGTTTAGATTTTTTTATGCTTTTTAAGCTTAAAAAATTATGATCGTTTTATACTCGAGATCTTATTATACATGAATAAATATGGTACATGGAATTTATATATCTCTATCATATTTTGCTGGATATATAATTTGAAAACATGGTGGGTCGGACTTTAAGTTTTTTACCCTGAATCACTAAGTTGATCGAAAGTACAGTGCTATCAAACACCTGCAGTATTATGGTGGCCTAAAATGTAATTCTTCACTAAAAGGTTCTGATCGTGAGGTCCAATCTGTTTTGTTTTTGTATCTGCGACCCCCGACACCAGCCTGTACATGATTTTAATTTATTTTTCTCCACAGAGCAGTGTGATGATGAACTGCCAGGCCCCCAGGAGGCCGTACCGAGTCAGCCAGATGACCACCATCTTCATCACACTCCTCTGCTTCCCTTCCTTCCTTGGCTCCTCTGTGTGTGTCACATACGCCATGTGGAGGTACTCAAGTACAAGCTCATGTTCCTCTTGACTTCCTTACAGGTTTAATAATCTGTTCTGACCAACAAACAGCAGCATCTGGTGGCGCACTCTACCTCAGATTATGTCATCAACCCAGTTTTTCTACATTGTTCTAAAGAGACAAACTAAGATTTTTTTAGAGATAGAGATACAGCACCACTGAACTCTTCTCACTGCAAAGGATCTGCCTTTTAGTAAAGTTGGTTTCATGTCTAGTTATTAAAGCACCTTCATTAAATAGATTTTTTTTCAGAACAAAGTTGCCATGCAGTTCTTCAAAAAGGCATGGGAAAGATGTTGATCAGATGTTTGTTTTTATAGAGAAACAAAAACAAGCTTAATTTTTTTGTTTTGTTTTGTGCGTCTTATGTCCTCAGTATAAAGCCATCAGAATCATGCGGCCCGTTCCGTAGGCTCCAAACGATGCTCAAGGCAGGAAAACAATGGATGAAACAACTGGCAGAAGAAAATGCAAGCCTGTCCCCACTGGCCAGCGCTCACGCCTATCTGGTGGAAAATCCTCTTTTTTTGTTTGTGGGAGCAGGCATTTTTCTGTGAGTGCTCACACACACACACAATTGACTTTTTTTTTACAGTTATTAATGTGCATGTGTAATATCAGGCACCATGCCCCCAAATACCTTCATAGTTATCCTGCTTTTTTTTCTTGACTTTTACTTACTGATGTATTTATAAATGAGTTTTCTTGGTATTTTACAATGTGATAGTAAAATGTCCTCAGTGTTGCTGGATGTCTGAATAACTGCAGAGAACAGCTGAAACACAGGTAGACATGTCAACAAACCAGAAGTAGGCATGATACTATCTAGTCCAGAGCTGCCCAAGTTGGGGCCCAAGATTGGCCCACTGAGACATTTGAAATGGCCCACCTGCAGTTGTCCTGGCTGCTAGGTTGTAATCTCCTGTCTTATGTAGAAACACTATATTTCCACTTTCATCCCAGCTATTGGCTGTAATGCAGATAGTCATGGTACTCAATTTATCTTTGGACTTGTATTTTATGATTCGTCTTAATAAAGTAACTACAAAATAAATTTAGATTAGATTTAAGCACACATCGATATTTGCACACTTTATAAGACCACAAATACTCAAAATTTAAATTTTTGAAAAGCCTGATGAGCCTTTGCTGCCTGAGCATATGTCAAATTCTCCCCTTGTCCATGGGTTAAAAAAACAAAAAAAAATGTGGGCCACTGCACTGGCTGCTAGCTGAATCATAAAAAAATAAAACAACTTAAGTCAAAAAGAAAAAAAATAAGTAGGTCCTCTGGACGGGTTCTTCTTTAGTGAAATGTTTCATCTCTCCTCCAAGAGACTTCTTCAGTCTGAAGAGTTTCAGGTGAACTCAGCCTTATAAGCACTGCCTCCACCTGGTGGACAAACAGGTTAGTCACATGCAAAAGAGGACCATCGCCTAACAATAGGTTTGATTAGCTCTATTGTTCATAGAGGGCCATGTGCCCCGTCACCTGACTTATTGGTTTGGATGCTTCGGCTGTGGTTATTTGGTGTTTTGTTTTGTGTATGTAGTGAGTGCAAGCGGGGTTCAATGTCCCCTTGTTTTTGTCCCTCTTTCCCTCTTTGTGTTGGTATCACTGGGGCCCTGATTCACACCTTTTGCTCACAGGGGGCTGAGTCATACTTGCKATAACAGCATTGTAGGAGGAGGACAACTGGACATGAAGGCCTCCACCTCTCTTTAATGGTGGACTTTCTTCACAAAGATGGCTTCTTTTACTCCTCTATCAAACCAACGTTCCTCTCTATCAAGGATGAGAACATCTTCATCCCTGTAAGAGTGACCACTGGCCTCTTGATAAGTGTAAACAGCAGAGTCCAGACCCGACGAAGTAGCTCGTCTGTAAATCAACTTTACTTAAAAATTAGCATTTCATGTATTAAATTATTTTGGCCCTCAGTAGGTCTGTCATGATAGTTAATAAATCAATTAATTGTATGATAAATTATTTTGAGGTCGGTTTAAAAAAAATGAGGACGATAATTTTCATTTTCCTGCTTGTTCGTTTATGTCGTCTCTCCCTCTCTGTGCTCTGGTGCCCAGGGTGCTCAACTGACCCCTTCCCCTCCTGTTTTCTTAGCATCGGGAGGAGTGAACTCTCGCGTTCTGTATTACCAGGTGCCTCTTTAGCATGAGAGCTCGTAGCAATAAAGAAACAGTCTGAAGAAATTCTGAAAAATGGAGATGGAATTGGTTTCAACGTGACAGCTGCAGTGTGTGAGCACTTAGATTCAAACCCAGTGACCGTGGTGAACTACTCAACCTGTGTGAGCTGGTAGGTCCAATTTGTTGTAATAAAAGAATAGCAACTAAAAGTAGGAATACTACAAACTTGCATCTGCACCTAAAATACAATCATCCGATGCAGTTTTCCCAGCTGGGAAAAAACTAAAACTGACGGGTCGTCTCAGTCTTCCCAACAGTCCACAATGACGAGCGACATACACAAAGGGAAGAGCAAAGTGGTGTGCACTCACAGACAGCGTAGTTCACTTCATCTCTAAAGAGATGCTGCTCTTTAGTATTGTTTATTTACTGTTTCAGTTGTGTGTGCTGTTATTCAAGTGCATTTTTTCTTAGAGACTGAGAGCCCATTTTGTTAAACATTCTTTAAAAATTAAAGTTTATCGATCTTTGAGAGGATATACTTGCATTTTTACGCCTTTATCACTATACTAGTTTTAAAATGGTCACCAGACAATATTATCATTTATCGCAATAATTTCTGAGACAATTAATCGTCCAGCAAGATTTGTTATCCTGACAGGCCTAGCCCTCAGATCAGTTTTCATTTTGACCCTTTAAGGGAAAATGTTTGGGCGCCTCTGGTCTAGACCACAAAGCATTGCAAAGTACTGATTTTGAACATGTACAAAAGGTCAGTAAAATTACTGCAGCTTGGTGATTCAGAGAGAGAAAAATAGGGTCTGTATCTGTTGCTACAGTGCAGTGGAGGTAGAATCACTGGCCCACGACTGCTGGCAGCTAGCTAGTGAACAGCATTCACGAGAGAGTCTCCAGATTGTCTCAAAATATTCGTGGTGAGCTCCAGTTTTCTCGTTTGAGTCTCAGAGGTGTGCAGCTTTGTTGTTTCCATATTGAACATATAAAAAATTGTGCAACAAATTTTCTTTTGAAACCTTCTCAGTTTAGATTCTGTGTATTTTAGAGCACCAGAGCTGCATCATTACATATTCAAGTCCACAGCCTTCAAAACCCAGGTGTAACAAAGCCAATGATAAATTTAAACTATTTACTAACTGTTCCAAACCAGCTTTATTTTTCTTTAAACTACAGTTGTCAAACTCATGAACAAGCTCATAAAAGTATGTAGAAAGTGATGACATGGTGAGCGCTTGTCTTTATGGTGTTTTTTAAAATGTTTGAGGTTACCCATGTCTGACTTTCATTTTTAGAGTTTTTGAAGGGGACATATTATGCAAAATATTGTTTTTAGACCTTAAATACATTTTATGGAGAACTTGGAGTCTCTAGGAGAGCAGAAATGTTTAATTTAGTCTCTCCTGGTGCTGCATAGATCTCTTTATTTTCTGTTTGGATCAAGTTTTTCATTGCGTTCAGTTATCTCTACTCTCTGTTATGTTTCTGAACAATAACATCACAGTATTTTCTACAGAACTGTTAAATCAGGTCATTTTCGTCTTGCTAACCAATTGAGCGGTTCTGCAGGTTTGTCGTCTTCATTCCCCTCTGGTTCTGGGTCAGACTCTGGCTCCACCATGTAAGGCTGGATGGACACGTCTTCTGTAGTTGACGTCTTTTAATTAATTCATGAATAACTAATATTTTTCTGCTATCAAACTGCAAAAATGGCAGAACAGGTTGTGGACAATGGTCACTGGAGGAGGGGTGGTGTGTGAAGTGCCTTATTTGGATTTAAAGAGACAGCACTAAAATGAGTCGCTCTCAGTCGTACCTCAGAAAAGGGGTGAAAGAGGGGTTTGTGGAGTTACAATGAGGAATGCAGACCAAATCTTTGCAGTTCCACTTTATATAGACCCCAACTGAATGATTTAAATGGGAAAAGGAAGGATTTAAAAACATGACATGTCTCTAACAGACTGAGATCAAAGGCAAAATAGATTTTGTGCCATTTCTTGTATATTGTACTTTATTAATATACAAACATTATATAAACTTGAACCTGCAGACAGGCCAAGAAAAAAATTCTTCCAAGAATGCAAGCTGTGGACACAAAAACTGGCTGCAATTTTAATAAAGGTGCCAATTTATTTTTTTATTTGTTTCTCAACTTTAAGTCACCAGCTAATCCTCAACAGTCACAGCCCAGTGAATTATTACTTCAACAATGCAGTATTTTTTTGTGAAAGATGTTTTTAACGTTGTCTTTTTCCTTCTCAGGATTGTCATCTACTTCCACAGTCAGGTGCTCGATGGCCAGAGGAAGATCATCACTTTACTGCAGGAACATATTAAAAATGTAGGACATCTTCCTGTCTGCATACACAGCTCTCTTTTTAGTCAGTTTATAAACTCAGCTAGTCATTAAAGGTTTTAAATCAGATTAATCTCTGCTCTTGGTGTTACTTTCATTTTGATGAACCTGGTTTGTTTTGTTGTTGTTTCTCTGCTCAGGAGGGAGAAGATAAAAAGTTCCTAATTACTCGGCTTCAGTCGATTCATGAGCAGAAACGACCCTCAGCAAGAAAACTCACAAATCAGGTCAGTCTTTACTAATGTTTGGAAGCACAGACTTAAAGACAGAGAATCATACAGTAGACATTTTGCACTTCAGTTTGTGTGTGGTAATTAATGAGAAGTTTAATTTTTTTCATCTTTGTGTGCATTGAAACAGTTCTGTAGTAATTTTCTTTCTTTGAGAACCTTGTGTCTTCCTGAGAAGATTTTAATTCTTTTGTTTTCATACGCTCGTCCTAATGGGACATATTGGGGTGTGACGCCATCTGTTTGCTGGTGAACAGTTTTTGTCTGAGCTCTAATTTGATAACCCTTTAGCATAGAAACATCTAACTGCATATCTGGACACCTCATGGGTCAAGCGTGATCACTATTGATTTCAAGGTCAAAGGTCTGAAGTGACCCCTCTTTTAAAGTCTTGTCTACGCTCCAGCTTGACACCTGAGTACCATAGAAATATCAATTCCTTTGTTCCCTGAATTGTCCCTATCTGTCCAACCAGACAGTCCACAGTAAGTTGTCCATGGTGTACCTCCACACATTTTTAGAACATAAAGTTCATACTATGGCTCTAATCAGACCACTTCTACCAATAATTCCTGAGTGGTACTCATGAAGTCATGACTCTGAGCATAAAAAGGTTTAGATGGGCTCGTAGTCATCACCAGGTACTGTTAGGCCCAAATGTGTTTGGACAGAGACAACATTTTTCTAATTTTGGTTCTAGACAGTTGAAGTTCAGACTTTCAGCTTTAATTCAGTGGGTTGAACAAAATGATTATATAAGAATGTGAGGAACTAAAGCATCTTTTAAACACAATCCCTTCATTTCAGAGGCTCAAAAGTAATTGGACAGATTAAATAATTGTAAATAAAATGTTCATTTCTAGTACTTGGTTGAAAACCCTTTGTTGACAATGACTGCCTGAAGTCTTGAACTCATGGACATCACCAGACTGTGTTTCCTCCTTTTTAATGCTCTGCCAGGCCTTCACTGTGGTGGTTTTCAGTTGCTGTTTGTTTGTGGGCCTTTCTGTCTGAAGTTTAGTCTTTAACAAGTGAAATGCTCAATTGGGTTGAGATCAGGTGACTGACTTGGCCATTCAAGAATATTCCACTTCTTTGCTTTAATAAACTCCTGGGTTGCTTTGGCTTTATGTTTTGGGTCATTGTCCATCTGTAGTATGAAACATAGACCAATCAGTTTGACTGCATTTGACTGGATCTGAGCACAGAGTTTGGCTCTGAATACCTCAGAGTTCATTGGGCTGCTTCTGTCCTGTGTCACATCATCAATAAACACTAGTGATCCAGTGCCACTGGCAGCCATGCATGCCCAGCCATCACACTGCTCTGCTGTGTTTTACAGATGATGTGGTGCTTTGGACCATGAGCTGTACCACACCTTCACCAGACTTTTCTCTTTCTCATGTTTACTTCACAGCAAAACCTTCCAAATACAAGCACCACACCTCAAATCAACTCCAGGCCTTTTATCTGCTTTGTTGAGAATGGCATAACGAAGGGATTGCCCACATCTGTCCATGAAATAGCCTTGGAGTCAATTGTCCAATTACTTTTGGTCCCTTTAAAAACAGGGTGGCACATGTTAAGGAGCTGAAACTCCTAAACCTTCATCCAGTTTTAAAGTGGATACCCTCAAATGAAAGCTGAATGTCTGGACTTTATGTCCGTGTACATTATATAACTATAACTTGAATATGTTTCAGTAAACAGGTAAAAAGACTAAATTTGTGTCAGTGTCCAAATGTATATGGACCTAACTGTATGTTCGTCACATTGCAGCTGATCTCAACACCTTCATGTTCTTTACTTGGACTGTTTGTTGATTTACACCATGGACATCAACATTATCATGTAAATTTACCTTTCACCCCTCCACAATCAAGTAAATACTTAATAGACCCATTGCTGGGTGAGGGAATTCATGCTTTGAACTTTGATTACTCTGACAGTTTACTGACGAGTGTATAATGGATCATTAAAGGTTTATTATTACACTCTAAGGTTATTAAAGAAAGACTAATATTGCGTACTACACAAAACGTGTTTTGGGTGTCAGGTTTACATGCAAAGTCTATGGTGGACGCTCATCAAGGAGCATCGGGAAGTGCTGCAGCGCTTCTTGAGTGTTCGACGAGCATCTAATAGAGACTTTGCGATGTGCCGTAGCGCTTCATTTTCCGACAGGACGGTGTCCTGAATGATGTCCACTAACCTGAGACAGATGGACAGGAGCTATTTAGCTGAAATTGAGTGCCTGTAGTCGGTGTCCTGGCAGGAGATATCAGCACCGATGCAGGTCAGCAGCTCATCAAACTGGACTCAGGACAAAAATAGTTCTGAAAGCCTCGTCAGCTCCCTGGGTGTCCAAACTGGGAACGTCTCTGAATTATCTGGTGATTTGATTTTGAATTAATTATCTGGTGAGCGTGACGTTCTCTTGCTTTGAGTAAATAAAGCAAAGACATTTTATGTATTTCATCCACCATTAAATAGAGACCAGCTGAGGAAAACAACCAAGAGGCTCTTCCCAATGCACGTCTAGAGTGTCTGACCTCAAAGTGCACAAGGGTCCAACTTGAATTGTTTTTGATGCTGAAAACGCTAACAGTGTGAATGCAGCATTATGTGCATTTAGTTGTCAAAAAAGAAACAATTAGTACTTGTAAATTCAAACAAAGGTCTAATGTTTATCTGAATAAGTGTTTATTTACTCAATAGAAATTATTTGCTCGTCTGTATGTAGGTTTTGCTCATTTCCTCTCTTTTTACTTTCTGTAGGACTCAACTGAACTTCAAGAAGACAAACCTCAGTTTTCTAATTACTACGGTTCTTCAACCAGTGGGTAAATAACTGGAAATGCAACAAATCAAATGTACGGTGCTGTGAGAGGAGCACAAAGTGAAGCCAAACATTACTCGTGAGGCATATTTGTTGAATTGTTGAAAATCAGGGTAACTTTTAGTTCAGAACATCTCTTTTCTTTCTTTGTTTTTATAGTTGTAGGAAACGAATTGAGCACCAGTCCAGGTAGATCTTTATGTAATAAAAGGGCAATTTAACAAAAATCTTTAGATTTTAGCCCGTCTACTGAAAGAAGCACTTTCAAATCAACTGTGAATAGTTTTTCTGTTGTAGAAATAATCCAAATACATAATGTGGCTGTGGAAATGTGTTAATATTGTAAATATTTATTCTCTCATTTTGCCTTTTATTATTACTATCATTGTACTTTTTCTAAGTAAATTATGTCTTATTACATGTGTGTTTGTATTTATTGTGAGGTTTGGAGACTGTTATGTATGAAAATACTTGTTCAAACTTTATTTAATTTTTTTAACAAACAGACTCTACAGAGCGTACAGGATTTTTTTTTTCTTACAAACATGCAAATAAAAATAAGTAGGGTTTACAGTTTTTAAAGTGTTAAACTGTGTTGGGTGATAATTAAATATACAAAGTGTTGTTGGTAAAATAAATAAAGCACATAACTGAGCACTGAAGAACAAATAATATAAAATTTTATTTGAAAATGAAACCCATTAAATTATTATTTTTTTAAAAAGCAGCATATTTGGTGAGTGGTTTCAGCAGCATGGATCTGTAACTGGATATTTTATTTTATTTTATTTATTTTTTGAGCACCAAATTCCCACCTGATTCATTCAGATCAAATCAAACTGAAATGTTTTCACTTCAGTTCTTACCTGTGCAACTTCTAAAGGCTGTGGGAGAGAGAGTCACACAGAGTAAAACCATATCTGTGTATCTAAGTCTGATCTGATGGATCCATATAAACAGCTGAAATGTTTTGGTTTGGTTGTATTTGACACAAAAAGACTTTGTGAGGCACTCGTGTTTGAATTGTTCAGTCACAGAGATTTTTTTATGCAAGAAAAATGTTCTTCCTCTGAAGTGCAGTTTTTCTTTTCTTACAAACCAGCTTTCAGATACTTTTTTTTTACAAACTGCAGCTCAGCTTCCATCACTGAGCATGCCCAGCAGTGTCCTGGGGTCCATCCCCTGCTGCTGAGCCATCTTCTTCACGTCGAAGCCCATGTGCTTCAGGAACTGCACCACGCTCATCTCCTGTCCCGTCAGCTGGTCTCTGATGGTGGGGCAGGATGGGTTGCAGTGTGGCCATGGGCAGCTGTCAATCAGATGGAGGGGACATCCTCTCGTGGGGGTGGTCTTGTGTTTTTGGTGGACGTGGCTGCTGTTGATGTGGAGCTTGTTCTGGAGGCTGCGGTCCCAGCAGTGGAGCGCTCTCGGCAGGGAGGTGCCTTTCACCTGGATGTCCATCCAGGTTCTGCCGGAGGATGGAAGAGAAAATATTCTTGAACCAACTTCAACAATTATCCTCTAAAATATATAGACTTTAAAATAAAAACCATTAAGGTAAGCCTCACAGGACAGCTTGAAAAGAAAGGTCAAACTACAGACATACTGATGTTCAATGGACTGTTATCAAAAAGTGCTGAAGAAGAGTTTGGTCAGTGGTAGAACCTCAGACTCAAGAACAATGTGGGTTCCGTCCTGGCTGTGGAACACTGGATCGGCTCTTTACCCTCACTAGCGTCCTTGAGGGGTCATGGGAGTTTGCTAATGCAGTCCACATGTGTTTTGTGGACTTGGAGAAGGCATTTGACCGTGCTCCTCGGGGTACACTGTGGGGGATGATGTGGTTCTGTTGGCGTCATCGCGCCTTGATCTTCAGCTCTCACTGGAGCGGTTCGTAGTGTGAAGCAACTGGGATGAGGACCAGCACCTCCAAATCTGAGTCCATGGTGCTCAGTCACAAAAGGGTGGATTTCTCTCCGATTTGGGGGTGAAGTTCTACCTCAAGTGGTGGAGTTCAAGTATCTTGGGGTCTTGTTCATGAGTGAGGGAAGAATGGAGCGTGAGATTGATAGACAGATCGGTACAACTTCCACAGCTTTGTGGACCCTGTACTGGTCTGTTGTGGTGAAGAGGAAGCTGAGCTGTGAGGCAAAGCTCTCTGTTTACAGATCAGTCTACGTTCCTGCCCTCATCTGTGGTAACGAACTTTGGGTTCTGACCAAGGAGGTTCTATAGAACAGCTGGAGTGGCAGAAACCAGGTGACCGTGTGATCGGCTGGTGAAGCTAACGACTGACACAAAACGGTCAAGAGTCTGGATTTCCCATTACTGTACATGTTGACAACAGAGCAGAAAAAAAGGACTGATGTAGAAATCATAAAAACTATTAATAACATTTACCCAATTATTATTAATATTTTACAGTTTATATAATCTAT